TGGTACTTAACATACGATAAATCAAATAAAATTGAATCTTGTAATATACATTGTAAACGTTGAAATCTTGAATCATCAAACTGTTAATAACCCAACTTCTAAATTATAGTCTCGAACATAGGTGATGAATAGAAATTTACGAAGTGCAATTCGAGGCATTTACTGGCGCGTGTAAATTTTATACCCGCTCACTTGAGATGATGAAGTATGTCTACTAATAGGAAGGCGAGTAATTACCAGGCCGACGAGTTTCCACCGCTTATTGAAGCAAATGTATCGTTGGCTCTTCTCCGCAAAGATGTACAGCTTCCTACTGAAATCTTCCGATTGTGTGGTGAGCTTCTCTGTAACAGACGAAGAGATAGGAAACTTCATTATGCGTTCGAACAAAATCTATTTTAACAAAACAGCTGTATATTACATAATTATATTATATAAAAGATTCTCATAAATAAAATTTAGCAAACGATTTAAAAATTGTTTGTAAAATTATTCTCTCCGAGAAAACAAAAGTACATGCAATTTCGCGTAAAATAATACCTATGCACAAATGCAAGAATTACTTGGAAAAACTCAAGAGACTTCGGTAGAAACTCTTGCAGTTTCTACCAACACGAAACTTCGATCCCAGAGGACAGGCGACAGGATGCACAAAGCGAACCGTTTTGTGCTTTGGTATGCATGCTGGCATATTTCCGAGAAGAGACCTCGTCGAGGTTTATGGCGCGAGTTGTACCTACAACGACGCTGGGCCCCTCTACCCGGCGCTCTCTTCGGCACCGGCAGAAAAGAAGAAAAGACTCGGCTAAGCCTACCGCCGAGGCTAGTTGGTGCTAATGAAGGAGGCACAGACCGTCCGGTGTATGCTTTGCCACTTAGCGGATCCTGTCGTGCCTCGACCCCGAAGTGCACGTTGCACCGTAGCCGGTGCAGCGCCGTCTCTCTGTCTCTTTCTCTGTCCCTCCGTTTCCCTTTATTCTTCCTACTTGGTGTTACGAAATTTTGTCGAGCGAGAAGCAGGCACCCTTTGTCCGCCGAATGAAAAAAAAGGGATCAGGTACAGGTGCGCGACCAATGACTTCCTTTTTCTTTTCTTTCTCAACACGAGAAATATTCACCAATGTGCTTGTTACTGTTTAACTCATTGCGAGAACTAAGTCAGTAACTATATATTAAATCAATTTCTTTTTCGTTCTCTTCATTTACGAGAGAGATGATGAATGATGCAATATTTTTATATCCCTTATTTCGCAACATAAATTTACGACTTTATGTCATAAATAATTTGAAAGCACTCACTCGTTATGTTAAAAAGAAAAATATTTCATAATAGTTTAGAAACCATTGCGTATGTTAATAATGAATTGTATTTAATAAAGAAAGAATCAAAAAATGCAAAAATTTTGTCCTTTCGCTGACGGGTTTGTCTAAAGTCGATCGTAACGTTTCTCGGAAACTTTGTGACGGAAGGCGCAATCTTAAAATCGAGTGTTTATCCATAGGTTAGTAGTGCAGCATGAGTTCCAGTAGTATAGAGAAAATAAAGGAGGCGGGTCTGCAGGGTGGCCCATTTGCTGTGGAACCTCGTTAAATTCAAGTGGCCCTCGTCGGATTCTCTTCCAACATCGAAATCAAGAATGTCCCCGAACTGCCTCGTAAAACCCTTCTTCAGCTCCGTCTAATTCTCTCTCTCTCTCTCTCTCTCTCTGTCTCTCATTCACTCACTCACTCACTTACTCTCTTTCTCTATCCTGTTCTCTTCTACTTGCGCCTCTTTCTCATCTTACACGGGTCTTCGCCAATAAAAAAAAAATGAGAAACAGAGAACTTAATCTCAAACTGCTATCTCACTAGCCTATGGTGTGTAGTCCGCGCCAATTAATTGTGCCACTTACGCTAATTAATTGGATTTGCCTCGCAATGGGATGTTGAGTCCGATAGTATCATTAAAGAGAAACCATTGTTTTTATCTATCATTTGAATCAAAGTATCCAAGTGAGAAATACATACATGATTACGCACCCTTTAATACTGCGATCGATAGATTTTATGAATATTGATGCATCGATTGGTAGATAGCAATTATTGAGATATGCATTTCAAGAGTACTTATTATTGAATAATTAGCCATAAATTACGCAATCATTTTACAATTTAAATAAGCGATAAATACACAACAACACAATGTATACACAACAGAATAACAAAGTGTATACATCGCGTTTCTCAAATAGATTTTGCATAAAAAACTGGGTTATAAATCAGAACACTTCATCATAAAACTTACAATTGATAATAAATTTCTCTATATTTTGTATTCCTGAAAAAATTGTTTTATAAAAATTCGATTAATAAATTTTCAACAGCAAAGAATGTAAATCATTTTTTTCAAGCTATCCATCAATTGCATGATATAGATACTGTACATAATAATTTTAAATATTAGATATTGAATCAGAAAATTATAATCTTTCCAGCCAATCAGTTGCGTCCAATCAATCAGTAATTAATTAGCAAAAATAAAGACTCGAAATTATTTTTATTATCGTAAAAACAAATATTAGTTGAAATACTGATAAAGTTGATAACACATTAAAAACTTCCTTTTTTAAAAATCTGTTAATCGTCGACAGTTTATCAATTGACAAACGGTAAGAAGTGTTACGAGATAATCGGTGTTATAATGAAAACCAGTTTGAATCATATAACTACGCTATCTTAATACGAACTTTATCGGAGATATTGAGGGAGTTATACGGGATGTGGAAATTCGAGCATAGCGAAACTAGCGTATCGATAATGAGACACGGAATGTGCGTTACATGATAATATAAGTATCCAACGGTTGCAAATAAATCAGGAACTATCGAGCACGGAATCGATACTCTTTTCCTTCCGGTTTGTGACACCGGAATTTTAAGTATGCGACGCGCAATATCTGCGGTACAATGGCGGAAAAAGATACGATGATAACAACCGGAGCGACGTTACCGCATTTCACAAAGTCCTCTATACGTGTTTGCTCGCTCCAGTTACCCATTACCGAACTTTCACATTTCCGGTACCTCGTCGCCGACGACGATGTCGACGGCGACCGAAGCAATCGCAGCGAAACTCGTCGCTTCGTCTCGAAGCGATGGTTATCGTTATCAAAGAAAGGAAGTGAGACCGGCGCGCCATTTCGAGTGCTGACGCGTTTGTTAGTAAGTTGTCAGACGCATGGAGTTTCGAGACAGGCGTCTACGGCGTGTTGATTTCAATCTTCCATTTGACGGATTTCCTCGGAAGAATCTTTTCCCCAAAGTATTAGTAGGATATGTACCGAACGCAATAAGTATCTCGATATTGAAAAAAATACTTTGAATTGATGTCTTAAAATTGAAGGAATTTAAAAAATATAATACAGTACTTATGTCGACATCAAAGCAAATTATTTTGTGCAAATTTGCGAATTCTTAACTCGGGAATAGTCACCTGAGGTGCTATTCCGTACAAGTCTACGGACAGTTGTAGGTGTCATTATGTTTGCTTTGCGTAAATTTTTTACCATGCAAAATATCTGCGCAATACACATAACGACATTGACAACTGTCTAGACGTGTACAGAATCCCTGGAATATTTTTACAACTCAGAAAAAATGTGATTTGATTTGTTGTAAAATACTGTATGGGTATTGTTTAATATTTTTTTCTTTTAATAATTACTTTTACAAATTATTAAATATATTTAAATATATTTCCCCATTTCTCAAAGGCTCATAATAAAAAAGCTACATTAATTAAAATATTTATTATTTTTTTAAGAAATACTGTCATAATAAGTTATTTAATGTGCTTTCATCTAATATTTATTTTAATACTTCTACTTTCTTCAAAAAATTGTGAATAAATTCATATATCTGTATTGTTTTTAAAATACTAATAAATCAGAAAAACAATTCATATACAATTTATTCTCAATAACAATGATTTTAATTTGAATATAAACTATTATCTCAGATAATAGTTTTAAAAAATCTGATAACTGGTTAAACCAAAGATTAAACTTTATGACTGAATTATTAAAAAGAGAACAAAATTAGGAATGCAATATAAACCAAAATTATTTTTATATCAAACACTATTCGAAAATATAAAATTTTAAAATTTTATATATAAGAAATATTCCAAGAGCTATCTGCAATCGATCGATGTAATATATTTTGCCGAAAGGTGCCACATCGGAATTTATTCATGACGCACTCGCAAGCTCGGCGGCACGTATGAGGATGAAGAGAGGAAGCCACTAAATTTTTCGCTTCAAACCTCTGTCTTCTCTCCCTCAACTTCCCCCTACTCCTTTCCCCTGACCATCGGCTCGTCGCCCTCGCTCTGGTTCCCTCTGATCGGAGCCGCCGCGAGATTAGAGGCTGCCAAATGAATTAAAAGCCAATTTTAATCAAAAGCGGGCACCGGCTTTTAGGCACGATTACTCCGGATAATAACTGGTAGGATGGGCCTGCACGTAAGAGGAAAAGAGCGAGATAGAAGGAGAGAAGAATGGATCCCATATATTACTTCTACGTGCTTCTCGCGATATAGGAACCAATTCGCCGCTCGTTACAGGTTCGCAACTATCCACATTTTTCTATCACGTATTGAAGCAAACTATTCAGAAGGTTTTATCCCACAATTGACTTGCAATACAATCTGAAAAATTTGTGAGACTTAAAAATTCAACTATCATTTTGGAGAAACAGAGAAAAGAAAATTGCACGCGGTTACCACATAGCAAAAAGCATGCAATGTGCAGTTATTAGTTATTGATGTTGGGCCTTGGTTACAAAGGTGAGACGACGCCAACTTGGACCGAGAACCACTGGGGCGCTACAATTTCGCGGCGTCGGCGTTATGAAAGCTATAATACAACGCGCGAGGGAGAGATGGTCGGTACCGACCGTGTAAAGCGCAAGAAAAAGTCAAAAGGGAAAGGCAAGAGGCAGGAGAGAACACAGCGTATAGATGCAGCTCTCTCGTTATGAGCGCGCGCGTATAATAGCGACCCTGTCATTAACACCTAAACGCACGATTGGCCGATGCGCGAGGATCGTCCTCTCCTCGATGATGCACAGTAGACGAACACAAGACGTGGTGCAAGACGGACGGGAATGCAATGCGAGGTATGCACGGGATGGATCAAAGGTGCGACAGGTGAAGTCTGGTTTATCGGGCTGACGCGGTAATCACAGCCCCCGCGACTCAAATAATTAAATTCCAGTCCGAACGATTGGTGCTGCCGGCGCAACCGATTCCCCATAAACGTAACACACCCCGGTCCAGATCTCTATCGCTTTCCCTCTTTCACGAGCCATGTCGAAATTCGCGCGGATGTCAGCCCGAAGGACACCCAATTCCGAAACATCAAACGTCAGACGGAACGGTTCGCGAGGTGTTTAGGTAATTATGTAAGTACGGTAAATATGTCGTGTCACGGTAATTATAAGGCGTGTCACGTAAATCGTATTTGTGTTTGCTCGGTGTGCGGGTAACAAAAAGTTGATAATTATTATTTACTTTGATTGTGGATGATAGTTATTATCATGTTATTAACTGACTCACTTGAATTATGATTTATCATTTCAGCTTAGCTCAGTTACCCCTCATTCAGAATTCCTGATCTTGTACGTCTCTAATATTATTCTAATGTTACTCTAGTTAAATCGCAACTCGGCATATTAAGTATATAATTATATCGCATATTAATGCAACGATTAAATTAATAGATGCGTTAAGAGCAACAAGTATTACTCCATAATTACGTAATTCTTTTACTTGTTTATCTACCGGTATCGATATGTAAAACGATTCCCGGAAAATCACTATTGCGTATGAGCTCCGACATGCATTATATGCTCCATACATTATACAATTCTAATTTTATTTAGTAAATTATCATGGAGAATTTTTACAATATAATAATATATCTGCTATTTGATAGAAAACAGGCTTCAGTCGCGACATCAGCAACAACTCCAAGTTTCCGAAGATATGTCGTGGCGCGTTCTAACCTCGGAACCTGGTACATGGCTCCTCAAGGACTCTCTCACAGTGTCTCAATTCCCCGTGCAGCAGCACACGCCGTTCCAAGTCGCGAGAGGGGCTTGAGTAATCGCCGGTCAGGAGAGGCTCGTTGTCGGCAGTTGAGTGCCGTAAGAGGTGAGAGAGCAGAGTAACAGAGGGAAAAGGTGGAGGCAAAAGCAAGAAGGAGGCAGGAGGAGGTAAAAGAAGAAGGGCAGGAGATGAAGGAGGAGGAGGTACGCGAAAGTGATGGATCTCGGGGAGGTGCAGACGCGGCGCGCAGCGTGCGGCGCGAAAACTGGCTCCTCTGTTTGCACAAGCGAGCGCCTTCTTCCCTCCTTCCGAACCTTCCTTTCGTCCCCTACCTCGTTGGCAATCGTCTCAAGAGGAACCGCCTCGTACTCACGCCGCGCGTAGGGCGGACAGCCCGTTTGCTCGTTTCGTCCGAGATATCACGCGCAAAATTCCCGCGAACTCGCGAGTTCGCGAAAGGAACCACCGCGAGAAGAACGTTTCGGCAGTTCGGCAGAAGGATCCCCATATGAACGAAATTGATCAAATTTAAATTATGATATGGAATTTCTCTATTATATTAGAAGTATCTACAAAATGGCATTTTTTGGTACTGATAAAAATTTGAGAATAAAACGACTATATTATGCCGTGTGAAATAAACAAATGATTTATATTCCAATCGTTCTAAAATCGTTTTAGTCCACAATTGAATTACGTAAAAAATAAGTGACACAAAGTTGAAGAGTTTTCAGTTTTTTAAATATTTTACATTAATATTATTTTATTATTAATTTCAGATCCCAAAATCTCCATTTCCGTGTTTGAAAAAAATTCGACTTCGGATTGTGAAAAGATTCGACTTCGGACTGTAAAGTCGACAAATTGGCAAATTGATGGAAACGAACGAAATTGCGCACAAGAGAGGCGTTTAATCATCATAATTCTATGTCAATGATTTGCCCGGTTTAAATACATTAATCAAGGATTTGACAAATGTTTAATAAATATATCATCTTAATATCCTGTCCATAAATGAGTGTTGCTTTCATAGCGGATTTATGTGAAGGTGATAAAATACAAGTTGAAGATAAGAGCGAGCACCCATGTAAATGTCCCATATATTTTGTTGAAGACTTTCAACTGCTTGAAAAATAAAACTAAATTCTCTTTTATTTCTGAATAATATCTGCTCGTAAAACTGATTCCAATAAATAGAAATGAGGCAAAATGCACTTGATGCATAATAAAACAAACGATGAGAGTGTCTAGCCGAAAACAATCAAGACGGGGTAAAATTACGTCGTAATTCATCGAGACTCCTCGGTGGTCGTCCTCCAGCTTTACTCCTTTCGTTTCTTCTCCGACGTTTGTGCGTCCGGCAAACTGCTCACGGAAATAGGACTGCAGTTATTAGTTCGTAAAAATGGAAATTCACTCCGGAAGGCTCCGTAGAGACATTTCATAGCGAAAACGAGAGAGATAAGCTTTCCGACCGACTGAGGTCAATCGATAAGAATCGCAGTAAATTAGAGTTCTTTTTAATGCATCGAACTCCCGGATAAAAATCCCTTTCTTATATACAAAACTACACAATGGTGTGATAAAAATGCTGACTAAGATCGATTCAATTAACAGATTTGATTATTTCATTCTAGTGATTTTAGATATGTTATCATTACGTATATTTTTTTTATTTTGAAGATAATTAATGCAAATCATACAACAAACATATAAAATATGCGTTCAATGTTAATAATCAATTAACAATGCAATCGCGATAAATTTTATCAATTATGCTAATTAAGTTAAATATTTGGAAATTTTAGAGCAGCTAAGAAAAATCTTGCACAAAAAAAGAGATTTATTTAATAGAGCGTAAGAGAAAAAGATACAGAAATGTATCTTTTTCTTAAAAGGTAACAATTAAAAAACTACGTAATACTTATATAATAAACACAAAAATACTTTTTAAATTATTTCTGTAAATTTAATTTGGAAAAAATTTCGGAAAAGTAACAACAAAATATTATAATAGTTGACAAAATAATTTTCTTTGTTAAAAAATATATTGTCTATCGTATATAAATTAAATTAGCAACGAGTGAAATTTAACAATTTTTGCGGTCTTACTTACGGTAGGGTGCATTGTAATCATCGCGTCCCACTGCTTTGATCGAGCGGCCTATTACGGTAACATTGCCGCTGCTGCAAGTTGAGTAGAGACTCACGGAGCGCACCATCGCCGGCACCGCCCCGCACATCACCACCTACAATTACAAGAATCGTACGTATAGTCTAAATTTCTTAGCTACAAAAATTATCAATTGTTCGTTCCAAGTTGCTTTATCAAATATTTAAATAACTTCTTCAAACCGAGAATCACTAAGAAATAAATTAATTAGCAAATGACTTATATAGACCGCGGTGCTCGTAATATGTTCAAAATCAATGGCGTATTTTGCGTTTCATAAGAAAATACAAAATTTATAAAAAAAAAAATTCGTTTTATTACGGAATATTTCTTCAAGGAATTAAATCATACTATTTATGACTATTTGATGAATTATTGAAATGTTGACAAAAATATAAGCGTATCCATATACATATTAAACAAAAATGATAAGTTATGAAATGTACAAATATAGATTATAAAGAACAAAATGAGCAACTTGGTCCAGAGGTAGAATCGCGCTTAATATTATCTGTCGTGAATTATCTGATAGTTTATCTTTCGTTGAATGTAACAACAAAGCTCTGGCGGGATAAGAATTCGCATGACATGTTTTCAGAACAACGACCGAACTGAAAGTCGTTAAGGAACGTCGAAATTCTTCCACGGCCGCCGAGAAGAACGCTTTTACGGTCGGTTCACATATCACGACATCGAGTCATTCGTTGATCCGCCCGTGCGGATTCTTCCCGCGGTGGATGCGCGCGGATAAAAATCCGTCGTGTCAGACGAAGACGGAGAGTCGTCATGCTGGCCGCTCGGAGATGGTGCACGCTGATGGCAGAGAGCTCGTTAACGAGCGGACACGAGCCATCCATTAATAGTCGCCGAAACTGGCGTTTCGTTTATATCAAAAGTGGCGCCGACAATGTTACGATACCCGGTGCAACGCGCATTAGTCTGACAAACATCGAAATAGAAAGCTTAGTATGATCGAACAATCATGACGCTCGAATGACGCATGAATGTGCATGTATAATAGATGTGAGACATTAGGAGAGTTGATGTTGTATGTGTGACGCGTTTCTCCTAAATTATAATTTAATATTTCATATACTGAAAAAAATTGACTCAATCTTAATATGTATTTCTTTGAATAGTACTAAGTAAACATTTACTTACAATAAATAAATATTTATTCACAAAAAAAAATCATATTAAGTCATATTAAATCAAATTAATGTTTTTTGTGTCAAATATTTATACATGTTATTTAGTAAATATTTACTTTGAACTATTTAAATATTTAAACAAATATTTAAAAATTTAATATTTTTTTCGGTGTATGCACAAATATCTAAACTATAAATAAATATTGAATAAATTGATGAAATTAAATGATTGAATGAATTGCAACGTTCTTGCAATTGAATATTAATATTTCGAAATTATTCTGCTCATATTTTTTGCACATTACGTGTCAAAATCAATGCTACATGTTTGCTTTAAAATTTATCCCAAGGAAATATCATCATATAATAAACGTACAGTGACGAACAGATTTATGTGTGAACGTGGAGAAGAACAATTAAATTTACATTGCAGGATTTTATTGCAATTCCACGATCCTGTAATTCCAGCCTTTTAATGTTGAGATTATAGATCGTATATGGCCCAAGAGACAAATAGAGTTGATAGCATACCATGCTTCTCTAACGATTAACATACAAAGTTAAGTAGATTACAAACATTATAGAAACTTTATGACAGAATGACGTCGCACGTAACAAACTCTGCATGCTTGAATTCTGCGTTGCAACATCATGTGCAGATAATCGCGTTTATCCTGCCGCGCCAATAAAAATTTAACATGATAATTGATTCGCGGCATCATCGTGATATTTGCATTATCGTTTAATCGGCAGAACTTTCAAACAATAGATGCGAGTAAATGATGAACAATTGTCAGTACATAGCTCTTTGAAATTTTATATTGGCTTTTCATTAAATTCTCACCTAGCAGACGTATCGTTAAGGCGATAGCCTCGAATACATTCATCTCGATTTACCATGCAGTTACTTCAACCATCGACATCTAAATTTATCGCTCGCGATTCAGTCGACTATCCATTTAATTATTTATTGGACCAGCAAACCGTTTACTGCACCGCTCAAGACCGGTATCGAGGATACATAAATCTCATTTAAATACGATTCGAGTCTTCGCGCGATGAGACTGTCGCGCGAATTGTCCTTATCATCTTGGGAAGTCGAGCATAGATCTCCATCAATTTCAAAAGCATAATAAATAACGAGTGCCATGCGAGTCCAATCTCTGCGATATTCAACGATTTATATTATATGATAGATGTTGAGTTTGAAAAACATTTTGTCAATGACAAAAATTATTTTACTATCAAATCGAGATAATCATAATTTAATAATCTAGTTGTCCGTCAATAATCCATCATCAGTAATTAGTAATTGATCAAATTATTTTTGGCATCATTAGTCAAATATGGACAATCGGTTTATCGTTAATAATTTTATAAATTAAGAATTGATAAGATAAAATATCTTAAAATAAATGTTGCAACAACATACAGTTTAGAAACGCGAGAAAGACTTGATCAATGAAGAAAGACTCGATTTATCATGCACGCAGTTAATCAAAGCGCGATGGCAAACTAACGGTTTCGCAATGAACGGTGTCGTGGATATTTAAAAAAAATTCAAGCGACGTCAAAACTTATAGCGCTTTACGGCGCCCACAGCGGGGAATTAAACGTACGCCGCAATGAATTAAGGATGAGTTCAAAGCCGGCAGCCGCCTCTCGGCCATATAAATTGTCAGTGCCTGTAAACGCGTAGGAGTGGAAGCGCCGATCATTAATCTATGGCAGGTAAGGTGCGTGCCGCTGTAATCGCCGATTTACTCGAGTCTTGGCACGAGTTTCAGCACGCGATCCTCTCGGGTCCCGACCTCTTCGTGCCGGGGATATCTCAGATCTGACCTAGTCATCCTCGCGATCGCGGCCCCCATATATCTTTGCATACATTGAGCGAGCTAGGAAGTAGGTGATTTTGTGACTTCAGCGGAACTGTGGCTCACTATACGAACTCTATGCCATTCGTTACCGTTCACGAAAACTAGGCCGACTAATCATCAAATTACTTTTATGCAATTGGCTCGTGCTACAAATGTCGGTCGCATTCAAAGAGATAAGATTACAAACCGATCATAACGCGATAAAACGTTGGAATGTGAGCTTTCCGTACTTTTACATTTGATTTCTCGATAATCTTTATAATATTTAAATATTTTCAAATCTCCATAAATTACAAAACAAGACAATATTAACTAATTAACTATGAAATGTATCGTATAGCCACTCATTTTCTCTAATAATCTTTTCTAATATTTATTATAACATTCTAAAAAAATACGTGTATTTGTATCTCGAAATAGAGGGACACAATTTCTATATAAATGTTATAAAAAGATTATATGTGGAAATACTCACCATCAGGAGGCACAAAATCTTCGCTAAAACGGCAAGCTGTGGTAACCTAGAAACAACAAAAATATACCCGTTAGTTAAAAATATTGATCGGAACACGAATGAAATATGCAATAAGTTCATTTCATCCAATTTGCGGCGATTCTAAGCAATCATGTATGCAAATAAATTTCGTGTGATTATATAGCAAGCTCGCGCACAGTGTGTACAGTCATTACTATTTCCAATCGCACAAATTGAAAATACAAGGTGCATTTGATAAGTTGTAACTGATAAGCAAACTTGTGTACGGGATAATTAGCACTAAAATGATGGTACAAATAGATTGTACCGAGTACATATAAATCATATACTTATTAAAATCTTTAAATTATATAGTCGTTTTTTAAAACATAAATATCCTTAAGAACAAGAATAATGATGATTGCGCTTTTGATAAATTCTAAAATTAGACTATATAGATTTGTTTTTATAGCTAAACTAGTTTACATTCTTCATACATAAAGTAAAATAGGTATTATGTTTAATATTTTGCGAAAAAAAGAAAGTTCTAATATAGTTCAACGCAGCAATGCAATAAAAAAACAAATCTAATATCAATGAATAGGAAATAAAGATCCTAAATATTTACAGATCACATCCTTATAGATCTTGATAGTGTTTAAATAATTCTCGGTGTGAATTTATATTTATATTATAAATCCAATCCTGTGTGCAAACTGTGCGAACTTAATTTTCAGTCTTGAAACGCAATTTCAGTGTCTTGTAACTAAACTAGATTAATAATATCACAAACCTAAAACCAACATTGTTCAAAATAACTGTTCAAAAAACTTTAAAATAGGATATCAAAATATGTAAAATTATAGATTATTTCTAAATACAGATACACTGTTTTCAGCGGCGAAGAAATGATACGAATGATCTCACGTAAAATCATTAAAAAAATTACCAATGTGTGTGGGAAAGGTTTATTGGAGAATCGTAGAATAGTGACACAGGTTGTAAATGATAACCCAGTTACATACGAGCTACATGCGAGCCGCAAGCAGTTGCGCAATGCAAATGCATCTCGTGTTACAGAACACAGGTGAATAGCGGTCGCGCCGGTACGAGCTTTCGCTACTCGTTCAATTCAATTCGACTGCAGATTATTGGCTCGCCCGTGGTATCGCGGGGTGGACCAAACATGCCTTTCTTTCGCCTCATCCCGCCTACTTCGTCTCTCAATGCACTCGGTGCGTGGAATGCCGCTGGGCAGCCCAGATCCACTTAAAATATTCGCTTTGTCTCTGTCGAGCGAAGAAGCACGACGTCCTTCTTTTCTGATCAAGTTTTCATCGTTATCGATCTTCTTCTCTTGGATGACATATCTTTTACAAAATCGTTGCGATTAAATACCAATTAGATCTAATTTTTCGGACAATCTCCGCACATAAGAATTATTCCGTTCACGTAGAAAATCTGCGACTGGAAGACGAGTTCACGATACAGATTTTGCCAAGGCTCTTTGCCATGCGTTCATCGTGCCACGCACTCCCCGCGATATACATCGGATCGTAACACTCGTAACGTGGAGTATGCGGTGTAGTGTACGCAGTTGACTCGGGTTTCGAGGTTTAATTGCATTGGCGCGACTACGGCAGCGGCGTGGTCTTATTCGAAGCACAACTGAATTCGGCATCTGCTACCGCATGTGTAAAGAAATGATTCATATTTTATCGAACTAAAAGATTCTTTTATAAAAATAAAACATCTCTAAAAAAAAGTCCACTTTTATCAATGTAAATTAATTTTAATCTACATAAATTTAATTTAACTTATTTCTCTCTCTTTATCTTTTTTCTTAGTATTAAAAGAAGATAAAATGAAACTATTGTAAAATTAAAGTAAATTTACATTGGTAGAAAAGACCTACAAGTCTAAAAGGCCTATAGAATAAAAAATTAAAAGAAGTAATCACGTGATTAATATCATGCATTGCAAATCATCAACTTGATCCAATATAATAATAATTGCATATATATAAATTTAAAATAACTTTTTTTGACAATAAAGGTAATAATATTAATAAAAAATGTTATTAATATGTATAATTTATACATGTGAGAAAGAATTTATATAAATAGATCACGTTTGTGCGTTTTATCTGGCGCGGACACTCTCACTTCTTCTGTACTGAGAGCCACTTGTAGAACGTATCGTGCCACATTCCAAAGTATCTAATTTACGTCAGCAGCGTCAATATCGATTTTTCAATTTTCACATCAGCGAAGACCACCGTCTCTAAATCAAGGTGTACGAGTATTCCACTCGCCGGGATGCCGGTTTACATAATTGCAAACTTAGTCACAACGACATCCCGCTGACAACCTCTTGCTAGCCGTTTCATTAACAGCCGTGGATCACTTCGGATGCGATAATACACACGATGTACCGCGACGAAGGTAACCGTCGGCGGTGCGGCGTCGAAAGGCGCGGAGATGTATTAACATTCGGATCTCCCGGGACGTTTTACGTAAGGAGGAAAAATGTCCGTGAGCTTTTTTACGTGTCATCAAGACGGAAACAGTACCGGGGCTGC